AAGGATATTTCCCTGGAGAGGGAGAAGGTTTTTGATTTAGACTGTGCTGTTTAAGCTCAGACTCTCACCACAGCTAAAATTTCCTTCTGAGGGCAATAATTATCCCAGTGCAGAGCCCAAGCATGTGTTTGCTTTTCTGCTCTCTGTCTGGAAGGGTTTGGTTTAGGGTCTTTGATTTCCCCTGGTGTTCAGCAGCCCCTGAACCCCTTGCCCAGCTTTGGGGACCAGAGCTGGGGGAAGCAAAGAAAAGCTCAGTGCACAGCTTTGTGCAGAGATCACCCTCAGGTATTAAACTAATTACCAGGGAGAGGTGTTAGTCCCTCAGGGGCTCCGCTCCAGCCCTCTGCAAGCTGCAGTCCAAAGGCAGCACTGTCGCTGCCAGCCCTGCATCTCCTCCACTGGTTCTGGAATGAAAATTGCTTTAAAAGCTCCAAGAGATGCTATTTGGTTCTTCTAAGTAATGGGAATGGAAAAGAAAAAGGAAAGAAGGAATGGGAACACTTTTGTTCTTGCAGGCAGGTAAATGAGGTTCAGCTTTTGAAAATATATAGGGCCTCTAGTGCTAACTGCAGGGCTGGAGTCTCCAAGGAGTGATTTCTTCCTTCAGAACCATAATAATAACAATAAATGATTAAAAAGAAAACAGCCTAAAATCTATATCTGTAGTTAACTCGGGACTCCTTCAGTGTTCAGGCCTGTTGCTGAATAAATAAATGCTCACTTGAAAAAGGAACCTCCAGCCTCCTGCAAATGAGAGGCAGGGAGGCAGCGCTCCGGGCCAGCCCTAACACGTGCAGCACAGCCAGGGGGAAATCCTGCCAGATGAGGTTATTCTGGTTTTACCCCAGATTGGGGAACACCAGGCCTGGCTTCCTGCCCACCTGCTCCCATTGCAGAACCCTCCATCAGCCATGCTACCCAATGTGCTGGTTTGGTGCAAGAGCAGAGAGTCAGGCTGGTGACCACCCTCAGAGAGCTTCTTCTCTTCTGATGTGCCAAAAAAAGCAAATGCCAAAGCAGAGAAAACCTCCAAAAGAAACACATGAGCTCATGGCCACAGGAATTACTGTTTCCTCCCTCCCATGGAACAGCTGCTCCCAACCACTGCCGGTCGCTGTGCCCTGTGGGCTGACACGCCGGGGTGCCCAGCCCCACACCAGGCAGTGAGATAAGGCTCAGGGAGGTGCCATGAATCACAGAGGGCTGGGCAGACTTGGCAGCTGCACTGCCACACTGCCCAGCACATGGTGCCCCAGCTCCCTGGGACACCCCAGCGCCCACCCAGCCTGCAGAGAGGGACGGCACAGCCGCGACATTGAAAGGTACGTAGACTTGTCCCATCCCTGACTGGGCAAATGTGGTTTCTAGAGCATGACTGAAATCATACATTACTTTTTACTTGCTGGCAGGTTAGAAGGTTGCATGGGGAAAGTTTTGGTTGTTCCTCCTTGTTGTAGGCAGGAGGTGCATTCCTTCCATGAGGTGCAACTGTGCTGGTTTCATGGTCAGAATTAATGAACTACCTATGTTAACAGGGATCTGTGATGTGGTGGAATCAGCTGTGTGATGTGGGGTCCAGGTCAAAGCCCTTTATCCGTCATGGCTGTGGATGAATTTGCAGGGTATTCACTGTACAGAATATGTGATTTGTCCAAGATCAGGCTGCTGCTCAGGTTATCTTCTGTTTTTTCTTGCACTGCTAAAAGAGACCCAGTCTTGCTGCCCACACAGCAGCAATAGGGAGGGAATTATTTTCTTTACAAAACTAATGGCATCATCTGGAGTTGAGAAACCAGAATAGATGGAAAGGATGAAGGACATGAGGTGGCAAGCGCTTTCTGGTAGAAAGCAGCAAACATTGGTCAACACCCCAGATAACTATTGGATTGTACTGGGGCAGTTTTTCCGTAAGATGTCCTCTCCAGCCATTTGGTAGATCCAGCAGCTGGCCAAGCATTTTTATGAGCAGAGGAATTTATAAGCTCTCTGGCAAACAGCCTCCTCCAGTTGAGTAAGCTGGCAAAACTCAAACTCCTATTGAGACTGAAAATGGCACTGTAGCATCCTCCATTCTCCTGTGGTGGGATAAACCCTGAACACAGGGTGGATGTGCACCCACCCAACACCAGTCCCTCCTCTGCACCCCTGCATTCAGTTTTGCAGGAAAACCCTGACTGTTGGAGGGGTGTGGGCAGTCACCCTCTTGGGAGCCACAGCCCCACTCCACACCAAAATGCTGGTGCTCACAGTCAGGGACCTGCTGGGAAAGAGAGGGATGTGTAGAGCTCAAAAGCTGAAATTAAAAAAAAAAAATAGAATAGAAAAAAATGGCAGGAGTTTGTGGGGAAGCAAAGTAAAGTTTTCCTGCGGTGCCAGGAGGAAACAGAACATTCACCTGCTGAATCCTGGAAAGCCTCCCTCGGTTTCTTCTTGACAGCAAGTAACTCAGCTGTGCTAAGGGGCACTTCCATCCAGAGCAGGCTTGGGTGGAGCCTTTGCCTTACAACACCATGAACTTCTTTAGCAGTATTTGTCCAAGAACTTTTTTGTTCCTGGAATGCTTTTTAAGTAAATATGTTTCAGGTTTATTAGACAAATAACTCTGTTTAACACACAACGCAGTTCCTTCCTTTCTTCCTCTCCTGCCAGCAGGTCTCTGGCAGATGTCAGAGCACAGGTGCCTTTTATTCTGGCACAACCCTAGGAAGAAAAAAATATATTCAGTGCAAACAATTATAAAAGAATGTAATGTAAATGCCAGGACATGGTTACTCTCTTGTAATGAAATCAGGTTCCAGGATTTTCACCACCTAGGGACTTCACCCAATAAATTTTATCTGGGATTAAGGTAAAGATAAATAGCCCAAATAATACATCACTTCCCTAAAGCACTGGCATTTATTGGTTTATTTTTCCATTTCTCTTCCTCTGCAATGAAATCAATATGTGCACAGAAAAACCACAACTTTGGTAAGGGAGAGAACTATGCAATGGGCCCCTGTGAGGCCAATGGTCACTGCAGAGGTGGGGACCAAACGGGGAGGGTTTTGCAAACCCGGTGGAGTTTTGTTCCACTCACTGTGCCCAAATCACAGTCCCAGTGTGAATCCTCACCAGCTCCAGGCTCTGCTCAAGGCACTTGGGGGGAAGTCAACAAGCTCCCAAAGCAAACCAATTCCCATTTTAAGCTCCTTGTGTCTTGCCAAGAGGGATTCTGAGGACTGCCCCCGTTTTCTGACCCTGTCATTAGATCAGGCACTGGAATGGGGGAGCCAGGACTGGGAGAGGGTCCCTGCGTTTAACAAGCAAAACTTCATGCTGAAAGGACCAAAAGGGAGGAGCCTGATACTGCCCCTCCAGATCCAGCCACAGGCAGCGTTCATCCTCCAAAACCTTTAAATTGTCCTTTTTGAAGTCTGTGGCTCTTCCACCAGCTCAGTGAAATGGGCTTCTAATGCCAGCTCCAACACAATTTTTAAAATCTGTTTCAGAGATACGGTGCTGGGGGCTGGGATGGACCAGGACAAGGTGATGTGGGGAAGAGCTGTGGGAATCACAGACCCTGCTGACACCTCCCACAGGGACAGATTGCTGCTCACAGGCCCCTTCCTCTGGAAGGAATAGCAACAAGGCAGAGAAGGGTGATGCTGCTGGGAAGCCAGCGAGCTCGGCTGATACACTATAAAAAAACACACTGTCATCATACATTAGGGTACAGAAATACCTTCCAAGGCCTCCTTTAAAATGCAGACAGGTCAGTCTCCCATGGGAAGCTGGTAATTCCCTGCTGGAGCAGCCGTGGACACAGCAAAGGGGTTTCATGGGGGAGCAGTGCCGGGCTCCAGACACTTGAACCATCACTGAGGGGCTGCATAAAAGTCCCAAACAACGATGCTACAACCTGTCCCTGGCTGTATGAAAAAAGAGGAGCATCATATCAGGGCACTGAGAGGGGATGCAGGTCCGTCCTGCCCAGGGTTCAAGGCAGAACACACACCACAGCCACAGTCAGTAACACAGCAAGCCCTGGGAGGGGACCCGGAGCAGGGCTGGGCAGGAGGCAGAGCTCTTCTCTGCTTCCTCATGACGCAGCAGCCTGAAATCAACATTCAACCCAGCCCTGCTAAAACCCGTTGCTCCTTGTTTACCCATCAAACAGGAAAAGCAACTCTCAGCACGGCCCTTTTACAAATTTTCTGTCAAAAGGCACTTATAGGGCTGTTCAGTTAACATCAGGCTCATTCACCAGGAGTGTTAGTACCCATCTCACGAGTGACAATTTGCCTTAGGACTCCAGAGTGGTTTCCAGGACAGATCTTCACCAGACTGCAGCCCGGAATTTCAAAGGTAGGAGTGGGTTCCCAGCCCCTGGGAGCCCAGTGTGTGGGGTGGCAGGTGCCTGTCCCATCAGTCAGAGTGGCAGTGGGAGAGAGGGCAGCAGATGGACTCGCTCGGCTAGGAAATAGTTCATGTTCCAAATTACAACCACACCTCACCTTGTGGGTGAAGTCGCTCCAAGATTTGGCCGAGTGGGAATATTTCTGGTTTTAAGTTGGGTGTCTGCAAAGCTGCCTGTTCTGCCCAGCGCAGTGGTGCTGTCCTTCTTCCTTTCTCCTTTGTATTTGAAGGAGGACAAGCTTGTTCCCAGAGGATCCCCTGACTGGGCAAGGCCAGATCACAGCTTGTCCTCGGACAGCATTTTGCAGAACTTAATATTTAAAACTTACTTTGCATCATCCCAGAAGGAAATGCAGCAAACCTGTGACTGAAAATATCCACCTCATCAGCAGAATTGGAAAGCCTGATAGATTACCAAGAACGCAACATGAAACAGGAGTGCAGGGGGCACCAGACAGACACAGGGAAGGGTTCTGAGACTTCAGAGGGACTGAGCTCTATCAGTGCAGCCTCCTCCAGCATACAGAGCCAGGGCTTATCAGGGTGGGACCAAGAATGTGTGCCTGATAGGAGTTTGTACATCTTTGATGACGCCTTAGCTATTACAAATACGACTAAACATAGCTATTATCTTTTCATCCAGAATCTGCCTGGCTTTGGTGGGTTACAGGTACTCTTTTTGGCATTGCCTTCTTTTCCTCAGGTGACCTGTGACCACTGGCCACCCCCTCAGCTGTGCTCTCCCTCCCCAACACCATGCGGATATCAGGTGAAGGAGACATATTTACTTTTCTCTGTACATTTTCCTACAGCTCTTTATGCCTCCTTCTCATTTACATGATGCCTTCCAAGCCCTGACCTTCCCCTGCCAGGCACATGGGAAAAAGCCTTTGTGTAAGCATCAGGTTTTTACAAGATTTGTGTAGATTTCAGCCTGTTGTATTTTTCCCACTGAAACCTTCTGTGTGTGAGAAGAGATGGCTATTGAGATGCTCCTGGTTCCATAAGAGCCATTCAGCTGCAATAAAAGTACATTTTTCTACTCTCCTTCCATGCAGGACTGGAACGTTTTGCTCTGATGAGCGCTGTTTTAAAGCCAAATGCCAATCACATTTGTATCAGCAGCTGCTCGGCTGTAGCAAGTGACTAATTGGGGGATAGCAGTCATCCCAGCACTGGGAACATAAGAAATATTTGGATTTACATAGCTCTCTGAGTAATTATCAGATTTACTTTAATGTAGAGAGAAATATGAATAGTACCTCCCAGTAGAACGGTAATGCCTATCTGAGCATCACCACATCCTCTAGAGATATTAATTAAGAGATCAGAATCCGTTTAGGTGTTGAAGGAGTGTTAGCTGCCTTCCCACACCATGTAAGCACTGGCTGTCACCCTGAGCCTGGTAACCTTGGGACAGACAAACCAAGTCCCCAAGAAACCAGAGGGATGCCCCAGTCTCCGACCCAGCTGGGGCTGCTGCTCTCACCTGGCTCCTCTCCTGCATCCTGCAGGTGTGATCCGGTGCGTGGTGCTGCTCATCACACTGCTGGGCACATGGTTCATCATGCAGACGTACTTCCACCACAGCTGGAAAGCCATCAGCTTGCGGAGCTGGCTCGGTGAGGCTCCAGCCGGATTCAGTGGGAGGGTGTGAGAGGTTCCATTGCAAGCCAGCCCCCAGAGCTGGATATAGGGGCCACAAATATTTGCACTTCCAATCTCTGGCCAAGGCTATAGCCACAAGCTCTGGCCACCAGGGCAGGGAGGGGACAGCATGGTGGGAATCTGCACTGGGGCAGTGTGGGGCCAGGGATGCCTGCAGCCACAGGAACCAGTTTTGGGGAGCTGGTGCCTGAACAGCTGCTCCTGGCTTGGGGAAGAGCCAGCTGCTCTCTGGGGTGTCTAACCCTCCTGCTTGATACCCACAGGTGCCACGAAGAAGCCCAGCAGTGAGTACCGCTCTCGACTTCATCTCTGTCACACAGCTCCGCTCCAGGGTTGAGGGTGATGGTGGATGCTTGATAGCTGCCCTCAGAGCCCCTTGCCCAAGGCAAAAATCCCACCCTCCCACGCACAGGAGGATTTTGCTACTGCACTCAGCAGTGGGGTTTTGGCAGGCTCTGCGAGCACACAAACCTTCACGCAATTGCCCTGCCCCAGCAGAAACACCCCCAGGGCACAGAAGGAAGGTCACGGGTCCCTGCCAGGTGGGTCCCCCCGCCTTGGCAAAGAATGGGGAAGCTCTGGGCAGAAAAGCCCTGAGGGGTTGGTCTTGGAAGCCAACTCCAAACGCTCCTGGCATGCACCCCTGATCCCTATGGCATCAGCCATGCCATCCCGCTGCTCACACCCAGACCAGCACCTGGCAGCACCAGCTCATGCCTCCCACCCCAAGCCTCAGCACCGTAAACCTGAAACATGAAGCTGGTCCCAGCACCAGGACAAGCCTCCTTCATGGCAAGAAGCCAGTCCAGGTGTTGGCCCCTTAGTGGTCCACTGTCCCCAGTTCCAGCCCTGCTCAGCCACTCAGGGGCACAGCCTGTGTCCACCCATGGGGCCAATGCCATGGCTTGCAGCTCTGCTTCTCCCTCACAGGTGAGAAGCTGCCTCGGCACAAGTGTGGGAACCAGAAGAGCTGCCCCAAGAATTATTTTGCCTTCAAGATCGTCAGTGGTGCTGCAAACGTGGTGGGACCCTCCATCTGCTTCGAAGACTTGGTGTAAGTAGCACAAGGCAGGAACAGAGCAACCGTGGCTGGTCTGGCCTTCAATTTGGCCTCTGCCAAGCCCATCAGTGGCTGTCACAGTGTATTTGTGGTTTAAAAATAATTCTGTAAATAGATTTTTTTCTTACCATTTGTGGGGTATTTTGCTGTCTCCAGCTTCTTTGCCCCATCACAGTTTCACTGGCATCAGCACCTCCAAGGCATCCCTGCATTCACTGTGCTCTCTGCTTTCCTTTCCAGCCTCATGAGCAGCGTCAAAAACAACATTGGCAGAGGCCTGAACATCGCACTGGTGAATGGTGAGTCGGGTGGGCACTGACCCCCTTCTCCCCACGGCTGGGTTTCCTTCCTCTGTCAGGAGAGAACAGGCTACTGGGGGCCCCATCCCAGGCACTGTGGCTGAGCCAAAAGCACATCCATCTGTTGTTGAGTGGGGCACACAGACACAGTTATGGTTGCAAGCACTGCCAGTGAGAAGAGAGCAAACCCACCAGGGTCATGCATGACAGTTCCACAAACTCCTCCAAGCAACACAGAGAAGATATGACACACTGAGGGAAGAGCAAAGCATTTGGAGCAAGAACCTCAGGCCCAGGCAAAAGCCTAGAGACATCCTAGTGCAAACTCACTGTGTTCTGTTTTCAATTTTAACCTTTCAGGAACAACTGGGCAGCTCCTGAAGACCGACTCATTCGACATGTACTCTGGAGGTGAGCACTGTCACTCTGCTGCTTGGTGATTCCCAGCCGGGGCTCACACCAACACTACTGGCAACTGGCTACTTCAGCTGCTCCTCTGTCATGTATTTAACCATAAATCTGAGTGGACTTTGACTAGAATTGTCAGCTTGGCTGGTAAAAGCACAGCTTTCCCTGAGTCCATCAAGCCTGGAGTCCTCACAATGCAAGATTGGCTTCTCACTCCTTTTATGTGCACCCAGTAGCCTGGGAAACATAATTTCACTAACCTGAATAGACCAGGGCACTTGAGATTTGAGAAAGGTACTTTCTGAGAACAGGTAGTTACACTAATCCTGATATTTTGCAACTTTTTGAATGCAAGTGCTGGCTGAGCAGGAGTTTGTTTCCCTGACTTTCATGGAAGGATAAATGAGGAGCTCAGGGCATGGCAGGGAGACATGACCCCCAAGCTCAGCAAGGCTGGGCACACGGAGCAGAGCCTGGTGGGAGCAAAGACCTGTGCCTGCTGGCTTCAGACAATATTCCTAGTAGCAAATAGATGCCCTGAGCCAGGGCAGCACCCGGCTGACACTGACATGCTGGATGCTGAAAATCCCACCGCTGTTGCAAAGCTGTTACCAAATCACTCCTCAGATTTGTCAGGACTCATCAAAAACCACATGTTAAAATCAGCCTTATAGTCCTTTCGATTTTCCCTTTTCTATTCAAACCTTCCCTAGAGATCAATCCCCCCTATGTCCTTGGTTTTGCAACTTATTTTTGATAACTCTGTGTTTTTAAGGAGAATCTCTAATGTAATGGTATTTCCAGCTGAGTTTGTGAGCAAGATACTCGGTAGGAGAGACACTGGGAACAAGAAAGCAGTCAGCTCCTGTGCCACTAGATGGGGCATTGGATTCAAGCATCCCATGGCTGCGGGATGAGGAATTATTCCCTCAATACAGCCACGACTGCACGGCAGTCAGCTCTGTGTCTGGGCAGGTTCATTTCTTGTGTCAGGAAGTAAATTCACGTAACTAGATTTCACAGTTAGTAAGCAAAGTTTAGAAGCAATTCTCCCCCTGCAGTTGTACTGAGAGGAGGACATCAGTCCTGGGCACTGTGGGAAACCCCAGGTGGAAATGCAGGATGGGGAATGCAGCATCTGGGAGCCCACCCTTCCCCAGGCCCATGGCTCCAAATCCTGGCTAGCACCTGCATTTTCCCACTGACCCAGGGGAGGCTCCCCCAGCTACCACACAGCAGTCCCTGCCAAATCCCTTTTTCCTTTTTCTCTCCCTAATGCTCTTCTCTCCCAGACATTACAAATCTGGAAAACTTCCTCCAAGAGATCAAGCGCGGCACCCTCGTGTTGACAGCAAGCTACGATGATCCTGCCACAAAGTGAGTTTGCCTGCTGGGGCAACGCTGGGCTCCCCAAAAACCTGCAGCTGGGGGAGCTGCCAGCAGCAGAGAGGGACAGGAGGGGACCACCCCCCTGGCAGCACACTGCCACCCTCTTACCCTCTTTCAGGATGACTGACACCGTACGGGCACATTTCATGGAGCTGGGCAGCAGCCACGTGAGTGAGCTGGGCTTCCGGGACAACTGGATCTTCTTGGGAGCAAAAGGGCTGATGAGCAAGACCCCGTTTGAAAAGGTATGTGGTCCTCTCCTGACACCAGCTCTGGAGGCTCCATCCTCTTCATAGCACCTCCCAAGCTACATCTCACCTACCTGTCTGCAGAAGACAAGGGCCAGTGGCGTTATCCTCCACGACAAGACAAGCTGCAATTTCTGCCACGTCACAAACTTGCACTATGCCACCAACCTCCTCATTCATTTTCCTTCTCTCTTTTTTCCTGCAGCACATAAAAAATGATAAGGAGACAAATAAATATGATGGCTGGCCTGAGCTGCTGGAGATGGAGGGCTGTGCCCCCAGGAAGATGGATTAGCATCAATCTCCAGCCTGCCACACAGGGCAGCCGCCACCCCTTACACCAGCTCCATCGTGGGGATCCCAGCCCCTCCATATCCCGGTCACACAGCCCAGCAGCTGCTGCCTGCTCCCAGGAACCGGCTGCTTCACAGCAGGAACTGTGCAGGGTTTGGAGAAGAGCTGCACAAGGGTCTGGAGAGCCTGAGCAAACGCCTGGCCAGGTTTCAGCCAAGCTGTCCTCCTCTAGGGGTCAATTTGGGGTATTTTATTTTTCTGTCTTTAAACTAAAAACTTTGTGAATGTTTTTTAAATTTCTTAAATGAGATTTCTAATTATAAAACACTACTTTCTCATTTCCATTTTCAAGCATAATCCACACTTTCCCCCACAAGCACAGCATGAAGGGTCCTCTGCCACCAGTCGAGCATCATCCATTGCATAGCCCTGCACATGGGTGCTCCCCCTCCCCACATGGCACAGGGTACAGTCATCCCAAGCTCAGACCTTGGTGGTTTTCCCCTGGAGCTCTTGCCAATGCCCCACAGTCTGCTACAGCCACAATATGGTCAGAAGTCCACAGGGATGGCATGCAGCAATGTAGGTTAATACCTGCAAACCAAAGCATTTTCCCCACCTGGTTGCATCTTTCCTGGGTTAAATCCAAGCTAAATCTTCTGTGACACATCCCCATCAGGATAATGCCAGGGATGTGCCGACCTGACTTTGGCCTCAGAGAGAGATGGATGGATGAATGTGCAGGTGTTTAGGGTAGCTGAAGTTGTGCAGCATAACCAATAGGTGGGAGCCTTTTACCGGGAGAGACGGAGCCAACGTCACTCTGGAGCGATACAATGCACCCAGGCTGGCACCCCCCTGCAGGCACCCACACACCTGCTTTGCTCCAGGAACTGCACCCCAACCTGGGGCCAGCCAACACTACCAGGAGGGGAAATATCCCTGCCCGAAGGCAGACTGGAAAAGCCACAGAGTCCTCCTCCTGGAGTGGTTCCTAGGCTGCTGCCCCGCGCTGAGCAGATCCTGGGGGAGCATCTGCCCTCACTCCCGTCTGGATGCATCACCCAAGCACAGTCTGTTCCCAAACCCTCCCTGAGCACCAGCACTGCTGAGATCAGAGGAGCTGTGCCGGTGACAGACGGGCTTATCTGTCATCACCGACAGGGATGAATTTGCATCATGTACAGACTTTAATTTCCGATGATTGTATCTGGTTTTTCCCCATTCTTTGAAGCAGACCAGCAGTTTTGCATAACGCGATGGTGGAGCATTTCTGCTGGAGCACTTGGAGCTGCGTGGGGTAACAGGCTGTCCTGTGTGGCCTTCTCTGCCTCTGACAGCCTCAGCACAGCTCCTGACAGGCAGTTCACAGAGTCATCAGAGCCCTCAGGTCACCCCAGAGCAACAGAAGTGAGGAGCATTGGCAGGGTAAGGCCATGAAAGGACACAGCCTGTCCTGTGTTGGCCGCCTGAGTGATGAAAACCCAGCATCACCAATCAATTGGTTTTCCCTATGCAAGGAAAAATCTCTGAATAAATTGTCTGACACCTGTAAGAACTTCCAAAGGCAAAACTGAAATAAAACCCCAAAACAACCACCAGAGGAATCCCCCAAGAGGTGTAGTATTTTATCCCAGCTTATCCTCCCACGCTCTTAACACACACCTGATGGCATGGAGGGAAGCCTCTGCCATAAATCGATCCTTAAATCTGCTGCAACAACAATGGTTAATCCCAAGCGCTGAATCATCCCTACCCGTGGCAGCAGTGAGAAATAACACATGGCAGCAGACACAACAGCCCTCACATCACACAGCCTCGCCGTGCTGCCAGCATAAATATGCCAACTATTTTAAGCCCCCTCAAAGGATCTAGATTCACTCATAAACCAAACTCAAAACAGCCCAAGAGCTGTAAAGGCGGCTGCATGGGGTAAACCAGAACACAGCGTCGACTACAGCCCTGAAAACAACCAGCCCCTTTCAGCTGCAGGAAACTCTTCCTACCCCTTTGCAATGCGCATTAGAAATCTGGTTTAGAGCCAAAATAAAGGAAATTTATGTTTCAGCACACTACAGGCAGTTAAAACTAGCTCTGAATCCATCATGGAGCAGTTACTAAGGTACATCACTATTTGCAAGAAATAGAGAGAGCTAAAAGTAAAACTCCTGTGCAGGGATCTTCAGTAGCAGCCAGTGTTTTGAAGAGCCATTCCTGCCAAAGTCCCTGTGTCCTGATAAATAAATCGCTGCTTTCAAATATCCAGAAACTGGGAGGCAGAGTCTGCGTATGGATTCAGGAGTCAGATTGAACTTGCTTTTTTTTTTTAGAAGATCTGAAAAGGACAGTGAGTGAAAAGACGGCAATCCTCAAATGAGGCTTTCCAGTACCTTGGCATATTGAAAGCTGTATTACTGAGGGGACAGGCACCTACCTGGCTAGTTTTCATTGTGCCACATCCCCCAAAGTCTTCACCAAACACAAGCCTGATCTGCCCAGACCTCCTAGAATGCAGCTTCAGGTAATCTGGCTCACCTGAGGTTACAGTAGGCTTCAATGCTGCAGTAGCAAAGAGGCAGCCTGGGGTGTCTGCAGGAGCAAGGTTTGCAAAATCCAGTGCTGCAACAGGAGCCAAGAGCCAGGATGCAGACACGTAGCAGAGGGATAATCCTCCTTTATTTTTTGGTGTTTATTTCAGCAAAACACCAAAGGAGCATCGAGGAAAGATGCCACAGGCAAGGACCTGCGGGTGCCGGGCCCGCAGCTGGGCGAATCCGCGTCCTGTGACATCTTGCCCTGTCAAGTGCAATTACTGTAATCTTCCACAGCCTCTCAAAATACGGATCCCGGCTTAGAAACCGGGCATCCACAGCATGAAAGCTGCCTTTGTGCCCGGGCAGAGCCTGGGTGCGAGCCAGCCTTTAGGTGCATGAAGAAAATGAGTTCTCCACGTGCTGGAAGAAGGGAGGAAAAGCAAGCTTTCCCGCCCGACCCCACCACAGACAGGCTGGATTTCACCCCCGTCTCCCCGCTGCAGCCGCCGAGGGGCCAGGAGCTGCACAGCTGCCTATCCCCCCAGGAGTAACAGAGCCGTGACCGCAGAGAGCTGGCTGGTCCCCTACCCCGGAGAGTGGAGCACAGCCAACACATCCGGCCATGGGAGCGTCTCACGGGAAAAAGGTAACGGGGCAGTTTTATTCAGGGCTGTTGGTGGTGGGAGGATGGAGAAGGCACCATCTGCTCACGTGGTGCTTGTTTTGCCCCGCGCGTGCTAAGGCGGCTGATGGCAGCGAGGGATTAGAGGGGAAGGGACCCGCTCCTGGGTGTGGGTGCCACTCATCAGGGCCGGATTAAGTAATTCCATCTAATGGGCTCAGCACTAGGGCCTGCTGGGCTTTTCAGGACAGTGAGGAGGGGATCAGAGCATTGCAATAGGACAGGCAAAGTTTGACTTTTCTGGGGAGAAACATCAGGTTTGTTCCGAGTGTGTAAGGCAACCTGCAGGCTGTCTCCCACAGGTGCAGTACAGAACAAGCCCTGAGTGTTTCTTGGCCTGGGAATTGCTGCCAGCTCCCTCCCAGGACAGGGAGGAGCTGGGTCAGGTCCCACAGCACCCACATGTATCTCCCTCTCCTCCAAATCCCCTGGGGAGAGCAGTCAAACAGCTCCAAATGGAAACAGAGTTTTATGAAGTCAGAGCTCTGTGGAGGCAGCTAGAGATGGTTGTGCTGAGGATGCTGTGAGATGTCATTTTGCTTTCATGGCTGATGACATCAGTGCCTAGAGACACGTCATCACCGTTCAGTCCTGGTGCCCTGACCTGGAATTAGACTGCCCTAGTTCATCTCCCAGCTCTAAGAGAAACACACTTGTGCGCCACACTAGGTCAGTAACTTCTACTGGAATGGGGACAGCAGTGGCCCTTTGCTGCAGGAGGGACCTTTCATGCTCAGCTGAGCATGGCTGTGGCTTTCAGAGGTGTGGGCACCTCCAAACCAGGTGCCTTGCAGAATTTCACAAACTTGCTGGACTTTCTTCCAAAACTAAAGATAGGCTCTTGCAGGGAAAACATGCAAAAAGCAACCCACTGGCCAGTGTGACCAACATCCAGAAGGAAAATCAGAGGTGAAATGGGACTAGTAAACATTTACCTATTTTTCTGGACTTACAAGAAGTGCCAGGTACGGGAGGTGCCGCTCCCAGCCAGCTCCCTGCCTCTCCAACACCCACCCGAGGTGCCAATGCCACACTGACTCCAGCACACAGGGGAGCCGTGGTCGTTCCTGGGGCTCAGGGCTACAACAACACACCCAGGAGGAGCCATGCTCTGCCCACAGCTAATCCCTAGACCCCTGCTCACGTGGCTGTGACCTTCAGGCCCCGGCGCATTTGTACAGGCATTACTGGAAGCAGGGAAATAAGCTGTTTAGGTCAGGCTTGGCTCAGTGCCACCTGGTTAAGCCCTGCTGCATACAAAGCAGTCCATGCCAGCCTCCTGACCACCAGACCAGACGGCTTTTGGACAGCTTTCCCGGCTGTTCCCTCTCTCCGAAACACCACGATCTCACTGCAGCCCCACACTGAATGGCCTGGCTTTGAAACACTGCCGGGATCTCGGGCTCTCCCGTCTCACCAGCTTGCTGGAAGCTCCAAAAAGCTCTGAGACAGTTTTATTTCCATGGGTACCAAAAGGTCAGAGATGTCACTCCCATTTCAGCCTCTCAAATGTTGCCTGGGTTGACAAAAGCCTGTGCCACTGCCCAGCTGGCACCAAGCAGGGATGTCTGACTGGCAGCGCCTGGGTCGGTGCTTTACCCTTAGGCTGATGCTGATGGGGGATGAAAACAAGGCAGCTCCTCTGCTACCTTTCCAGGGTGGGCATGAAAGCAGGATCCAGCCCTCCTGAGGACCAGCTTGGGCCCAGGTGACAGGCAGAAAAACTCTCCTTCCCTCAGCCCTTGCAGAACCAGCACAGTTCAGGACACAGGGACCTGACAGGCATGACCCCATCCATCAGCTACAGCTCAGAGAGGACCTGCAGGGGAGCACGAAGCAGGATGAAAGCTCTGCACCCCTCGCCAGCACCGCCTGCATTAGCAGTCTCAGCTGCACCCCTTTTAAGCTTAAAACAGAACAGGACTCCAAGGAGATTACAGTGGTGGATTGTGGAGTGCAACGCAATCCCCAGCTCCACAACAAAAGGCACCGGAAAGGCTGCCAGCGTGGCTCCAAGGACATT